GAACTCCAGCTCCAAGTGGGGTTAATGGACGGCTGACCGCTTCCGATACATTCTTCACGTACGGAAGAGCCCCCAAAATTTTGGTCAGTTGGATGTGGCTTCTTCGCTCGTTTGTTGTGACTACTCTACCATCACCTATGTGATTCGGGATTCCCAACGGAACCCGAAACGTCACGACAATAAAACTTTTGTTCCAGAGATCGCATCCTCTACTTCTGAACTGCTTCCTGTGGCTCGCATATTCTCCACTGTTGAGACTAAACTGTTCCTACCACTATGGCCTCCCATGACTTCCCTTCTCCTACCGAACCGGACCTAAAGATCGCAGTTGTTAGGGTTTAATTTACTTAAGCCCTGCGATAGGCTCATTCTTAACGCGATCTCTGACACTTTCCCGAATGTGAGCTGCTCACGCCTTTTGTGCAAAATCCTGGTACTTGTGTCTAGCCAGGGGGGGGAAGTTTTGTGTGCAGTACGCGCAAACGAGGTATTAAGGTATATCAGCAGCTGCGTCCGTTCCTCGCACCAGCTCCGATGGTGGCTAGTGCCGGGGAATAGAAAAAAAAGAATGACAGCTCGACGGCTCAACGCATTTATCTCACTAAAAATAGGCCAACGTGCTTAAAGATTGCACAATGTGCGAAAAGCTGTGGTCTCCAAGGTTACCAACTGATGAGATCAGTCATACCGCGCGGTCAACCCAGCATGCGTTTGCAAGGAGTAACTGGTTGGCAGACTTAGAATCAGGCTGCAATGGCTCCTTTTTAATGTGGCCTTTACGACACCCCCCCTTCCTTAGGGGTGGCTCGGGCCGTTCCAGCCACCTGCGTTCTGTCTCTCTCACCTACATCCTTCTTGACTTGGTCATGGCAGCGGGCACAGGTGGGGAGAGAGTGCGGTAGATACTTCGCAAGCCCGCTCTCATTATAATCCACGTGCACGTCCCTGTGCCTCAACCATAATTTTGTGAAGCACACTGCATTATAAACAACTAAAGCCGAAGAGACCATGCAGAAACTCGAGGCTAGGGCATCTCCCCCCTTTAAGTAAATGATATGTTTGTTGTCGTGAGAATGAATCGACTGGAAACGCTACATGTTACCGTCCCCGGCAATTAAAGTAACACAAAAGGAAGTTGACAATGCACAAGCAATCAGCCGAGAAGAAAGTAAAGTGGCGCAAAAGATAACCGAAATCTGTCAGTCTGATTCCAACTCCACATAACTTAGGGCTGAGATAATCACACCCTATGAGGACATCAGATATAACATGTGCACACAAGGAGGATCAATGAAACCATGTGCACCATTTTGTCTATCTCCGATTATGCACTTAAGTACAAATGTCAAGGTCAGCTGATAAAACCACGCTTCATATATACCGCCCTACCTTCTCAACACCTCTGTTCAGCATTCTCGACTAGACCCATCTACTGAAGAGCCGAACCGCTAGAAGTTGCATCATGCAGCAGCAGAAACATCGCCAAAACACATGTCAAACTTCTTGTTTGTGAATTTGTTGGGAGTGTCGTAGAGCACACTCGAAAGACAAAATTTACACATATAGGGTTAACTGTTTGCAGAGTGAGCATCATGTAGTCAACTAAAATTCATTAAAATTTTGCGTAAACTGGGCTCGGACGAGGCATGCATTAATAGGTATATGGATTTAGATGCCAATTACGAATTTCTCAAGGTAAAAGCAAACAACGACTACCGGCGGGATAATTTAAACCAGGTAATACTCAATGGCCCGCAGTCTAGCCAACCACACAATCTTGCGTTTTTAGTAAACGGTTTTCGAACACTTCTAATTTGTCTAAAGGCGATCTCGGGGATAGGTCTCGAAAATTTACACAATGCGGTTCTGTCCCAGAAAAACATAGATATATAATGTATATACAGGACATCACCGACGAAGCACGGCCAATCTTACCCTTTGATCCCTTAACATCTCACACTTAATAACTACTGATTGGTGGCTTAAAGTTTGGTTTACTCTACCCTTCCTTATGTTACTGAGTTTGCCTGATGATAAATACTCGTTCGTCTAAATTAACATAATTCCGTTAGTTTAAGACGATGGTTCCCCAGGTCATCGTCAGATTTTGGATATTGCGCAAGGCACAATCGAACTTTCAAACATGCTGAAAGAATCAATAATCATTTTCTGTGAGCACCAAGTAGGTGTTCGGTTACGGTTTGCCGATGATGACTAATAAACCAGAAATGTCTATTACAGTGCCTATCACCGATCATCTCCTTGCGCATATAATTCGGCCGCTGTACCAGTGCTTGCAGGGAACCTATCTCGAAGCTCAAGGCATAGTGAGACGAGCCGGCCTCACAACCCGGTCGATAACCACCAAGATTAATATTCCCGATCGTAAGTGAGTAGACAACAGGCCCATAGTCCAATTGGGGTGCGTTGGAACTCCAGGCGTTCGAAACCGAAGGTTGGATACAACTGGCTGACAGTGGTTGTTGCTAAGCCAGAAATAGTTCCTTCTGAATTATGAGCA